CCTCCCTGAGTAGACTTCCCAGCCCTGACTTCCCCCAGGTACATTTTGGAGAAATTGAAGCCTGGCCATCAATGTGAGGAAATTTTCCTTATAGCCTAGACCTGGGCCCTTCTCTGAACATAACAGAAGCTGGTGGCCGAGAGTAGCCTCTAATCAAATGAGAGCTGGAAAGACCTTCAGCCATAGGCTGCCTTCATGCCCCTGGAGAGACAGGTAGGCAGCATTTCTGGCTGTCCTTCTGGGGCTCTGTGGCCAGCTTTCCCTGAGGTCTTGAGTCCACATACTGTCTACCTCTGTCTGACGCTATTAGCAATGCTGCCATCTCTCCTAGCTTTAGCGTTTCGGTATGCTAGAGCCAGGCTGCCAGCCAGGGTACTGGTATGAGGGCTCAGGTGCAGGCCTCCTGTATTCTAGTACTTTCTGGTTTGACCTGGTCTTGAGAGGGTGGGCTCCCAGGAGGTGAGGACTGAGGGCCTTACCTTGACAGCTCTCCGACTGCTCTCCTACCCCCACCCCAGGTCCTGCCTTGAAGAGGCTGGGCCAAATTTCTAGGTCCTCCTACCCATGGAGAATGTCCGGAATGCTCATGACCTCAGTAGGTGAGCCCTGGTGTTTGCTTAATGGGATTCCTGGCTAGCTCAGCCAAGGGCACCAGGCACGTGGGGCCAGGAATACACACACCAGGGCAAAACAAACTGCTAGAGACCCAGGCCTGAAGGCACACAGACTCTGAACAGGCTTGGACACGTGGGCCTGCCCTTGGGGAAAGTAGGCCAGGACCTTAGGGATGACACTGGGGCTACTTCTAGCCTGCAGAAGACTCACTCCCAGGAGGCTTCTACAGCTAAAGGGGGGCGGGGAGCAGGAAATCCATATAATCCATTGCTGGTGAAGATGGAACACCCAGGCCCAGTAGGTGTTTTACTGTTTTCCGGGTTGAAGGGAGGCCCGGCACGTTAGAGCTCGTGGTAGGTTCGGCAGTGGAAGGGGAGGAGGCCCTGGCAGGGCAAGGAGGGCGGAAGAACTGGCTCCAAGTTCAAATTCCAGCTACACACGCTGAGTGACCTTGGGGAGGGGTCAGTTTAGTCACCTGGGTTCTTGGCTGTCCTCGTGGGAGCTGGGTGTGGCCCTGGAATGGCACGGGGGAGTCCCTTGGGTCCTGCCTGGGTCCTACTCAGGGAGCAAAGTTCAGGAATCTTCAGGTGGGAGCAGTAGAGGCTGAGCCGAACTGGAAAGCTATTGGTGGGAGGGGCTGGGTGCCCCTGAAAAGACCCAGGCCACTCGGAGGGATGGGCCGACCAGTGCTAGACAATAGACAGGACTAGCAGAGGTCTGTGCACAAGGTAGGACCACAGAGTCTAGTGTGGGAGGGGCCCCAGCAGTGCCCTGCCTCCCTCAACAGTCAAAGAAGGTTGCAAGGGGGAGATGGTAGAGAGATGGTCTGTGGCCGTGCCTTCCCCTTCTCTGCCTCCGGGGAAACCTTTGTGTATAGCACAGACTAGTGAGTCCCAGGGACCTTGGGCAGCCAAGCCGTGAATGGCCCTAGCTGATCTCCTTCCACCATAGGGTCTCCTGCACCATAGCTTCTCCCTGCTCCCCCGAGACTCCACACCCAGACTCTGGCCTGAAGACTGACCCAGCCTGATGTTTCCCTGGCTCTGGGTTTCTTTTGGGCTCAGACAGGCAGGAAAAGTCAACCTTCAGGCACTTGGGTGGTATGCCCACGCCACAGTCAGATCCTGAAGAAGGTCCAGCCTGCTGGATGGAATAAAGGCCCTCCCTTCCTCACCACCTCTCTTGTCAACTGCCAGGTTCCCCTCATCCGCTCCAGGGCTGGGAGGGGGCCGGGACCAAGGCGAGTGAGTCACACACCACCGGCTTAAAAATATCACTGAACACTGGCCGCCGCCCGCTGGACCGACGGAGCCTCAGCAGAGCGGTTCTTGAGCTAAAAGTCCAAGGGAGGCTCAGGCCCAGCCTCTCTCCCAAGTTTCTATGCCCCATTCCCCATCCGGAACCCCCAAACCTAGGCTTAAGCTGTCCCCAGAGTCCCGCGATCCAGATCATCCCAAACCTCACACTCAGGTGTCCTCAGCTCCGGTGCTGGATTGCCCTCCAAACCCAGCGCCCGACCCAGGGTCTCGGGACAGAGATCAATATCCCATGGCCACTCTGGGAAACTGAGGCCCAGATTGGCAAACTCCCTGGCGGAAGCGCTCACCTGTTCGCCGGCAGCCAGCGCCTGCGCTTGGCTAGTCCCCTAGGTCAGTCTGTCAGCCCGGCCGTCTGTCAGAGCCTCACCGGCAGTGGAGCTCCCTCTCCCCGGACAGGCGGGACCTCTGCTGGGCCGGATAGGCCGGGGCGGGGCTGTGAGAGGAGGAACCTGAGCGACAGGTTACCGAGTCACCCGGGAGTAGGCACCAGGGAGGCTGAAGGAAGGGGGCGGGCCTGGGGCACCACTCCCCTCCCCATATCGTCCCCCCCCCCCTGGACAGCACAGTTCCTCCTCCCTCGCCTTCATCTGTCCTCCCAGCGGTCCCTAAAAGCACCTGGGGCCCCATCGCAGCTGGCCCTGAAGTGCAGGGTGCGGCCCAGCTGCTCTAACAGGCTAAGTTGCAGTAGCAGGTGGGGACCTGGATCGGCCTGCAGGGGCAGTACTGGATGAAGCCTATGAGGGTTGCAGTCATGCGGGAGCTCTCAACCAAGACCCTATCAGGTGCCCTCCACCCGCAAGTTGCCTGGGACAGAGCTCTTTAGTGGTTCAGTCTGGGGCCTGGGATTTTGTGTTCAAGGCTTTTGAGTCTAGGAGCTTTTAACTCCCGGGTGCGGGCCTCTCCCTTCTTCACATACAGGAGCTCCTAAAGTATCTACCTATCCCTGAGAGATGGGCTGTTTATGGAGAACCCGGCTACCTGTCCTCACCATGTTAGCTCCTAGAATTACCCTGCCCACTCTGCTGACAGCTCGGACCGGAGTTGGGTGAATTTAGAGCCGAAACTAGTTGACTAGGGGGAAAAATGGAGTTATGGTCCGCTAGCCAAGGGTACTGCCCTTACGTGAACAGGGACTCTAAGGCCCCGGCTATTGTTCCCAGAGTTGGGATAGAGGAAATGGGTGCTGCCAGGAAGTCAGGGTCCCAGGCTACAGTCCCAGAAGGCAGGGCCCTGGCATGTTTGTCCTGGGCGGGCAGTCAGCCCTCCCTAGGGCATTGAGTGCTCTGTCCTCCAGGGCCAGCAGCATGTCTGACCCACCTGACACACTCTGGGATGCCACAGGTAGGCTGGACAGAAGGGTGGCAGAAGTGGACTTGGTCCTCCAAGCCCAGCTACTGATGAGCCCCAGAGATGCTTCCTGGTTCCCAGCCCTTACAGCTGATCTCACAGAACTGGCCCAATCTTGCTCTGCCTGTGACCTTGCCCTGGCCCAGCAAGCAGAGGTCAAGTGCTTGGCTGTGGAAAGGGAGGGGCAGGGGTTTGTGTCAGCCCTGACATTCCTGGGCAGAGCTGGAAATGGGTGAAGTATGGGGCTCCCTAGTGCTGCTACTAGTGCTCACTGACTTCGCTGTGAGGCAGCCCAAGCTGGTAGTAGCAGCTGACGCCCTCTCTGGGCCACCGGAAACACCACCTCCATGTGGCCAGTAAGAGTAGAGGTGTTTTGTTTTGTTTTGTTGGTTTTATCGAGATAGGGTTTCTCTACCTAACAGCCCTGGCTGCTCTGGAACTCCGTAGACCAGGCTGGCCTCAAACTCACAGAAATATGCCTGCCTCCGCCTCCTGAGTGCTGGGGTTAAAGGCGCGCCACAAGAGTAAAGGTGTTAAAGGCTTGAAACTCTGGCTTATTATGTGAAGTTGGCAAGCTTCCTTCCCAAGAGAGGACCTGACTTGAGCTGCAGGGAGTGGCTGAGCCCCCCAGAGCCATTAGCCTTAGTCCATTTTGCACACCCAGGCGATGATACTTGCTCAAGCCACAGGGTCAAAGGGGAGGGAAGTGCCCCTAGGCTTTCTAGGTCACTGGTCTTTCCCAAGCCTGCCTGTGGGACAGGGAGAGAATATCTTCAGGCCATCCTGATCTTCACTGTGGTCTCCAGGAGGTGTGGGTTAAAGGAAACCAGCCAAGGACCCATGGACATAGATGGTTCCCTATGCAGAACCCAGAGAAGGCTCTTGATGGCCCAGCAACCTACCACTCTCAACACACTTCACAGGCAGGCTTCTGGATAGTTACTGGGGTGGAGAGAAGACAGGTAGAGGTATCAGGACAAGTCCCAGGATAGGGTTAAGAAGTGACAACAGGATGGACTCCTATATACTGGACCTGGGCAGAAGGTAGGTGGTTATAATTAAGACAAAATCATGACAGCATAGTTATTTATTTATTTATCTATTTTTTAAAATATTTATTTATTATGTATACAATATTCTTTCTGTGTGTATGCCTGCAGGCTAGAAGAGGGCACCAGACCCCATTACAGATGGTTGTGAGCCACCATGTGGTTGCTGGGAATTGAACTCAGGACCTTTGGAAGAGCAAGCAATGCTCTTAACCTCTGAGCCATCTCTCCAGCCCCCAGTTATTTATTTTTTTAAAAGAGAAACTAGATATTTGAACATAGTATCACAAACAGAAAACATGTAACAGACACAAATGAAAGAACCTGTTTAAAAAAAACTGCTTAAATAGTTTTTAAGAAAAAATGGGTTAGGATTAGAGAAGCAAGAGATGAGATGGAATTGACTTGGCACTTGACAAAACGGCAGTTTAGTAGACTGACAGACTTCCCAGACTGAGAACTGGTCTTCCACTGTCTCTGTCCCCTACAGCCCACCCCCACCAAAAGAGGCTGAAGTGAACATCACAATATATGGCTCTCTGTCCTGTTCACTCTTTAAAAAATAATCTATTTTTATTTTATGTGCATTGGTGTTTTGCCTGCATATGTGTCTGTGTGATGATGTTGGATCCACTGGAACTGGAATTATAGACAAGTGGGAGCTGCCATGTGGGTGCTGGGAATGGAACCTGGGTTCTCTGGAAGATCAGCCAGTGCTCTTAACTGCTGAGCCATCTCTTCAGCTCCCTCCACTTTTTTTTTTTTTTAAGACAAAGTTTCACTATGTAACCCTGGCTGATCTGCAATTCACCATACTGTAGATCAGGCCGGCTTTGAACTTACAAAGATATGCTTGCCTCTGCCTCCTGGGTGCTGGGATTAAAGGTGTTGTGTGCCACCCCACCCGGCATACATTTGCTTTTGTTTCCTTTTGGAAACCAAACAGTTTTATTCAGGACTGGCCTTACAGGGAGCCAAAGTGGAGGGACCCTGGAACTCAAAGCCTGCCATCCTGCAACTTCAGAGGGATCCCAGGCCTGGACAAAGGCCTCGCTACAGAGTACAGCAGGTTCTCAGAACAAGAAGCAGGGTTAGTGTGGGAAGCACGGAAGTCAGTAATTCCTGTGAGAAAACACACGGTGACAGACCAACACAGCCAAGTCCTCCTGCCAAGATGCTGCATTTATAGGGCTGAGATAGGGTGGAGCAGCTGGGCTGCCCCCAGTGTTGACTTCCTGAAAGACTTGGCCTTCCAATGGCCTGGTGATCACTGGTGGTCCTGCTGCTATAGCCAGGACCCTGACCATACAACAGGAGTGGACATCTCTAGGGTTGACTACTGTCCATGATAACCATCTTCAACACCTAAACTCCTAACAGTTTGCCCCTCCCTGGTTCCTGTACTCCCGCTCACTAAAAAAGGTTTATAAACCACCTAAATCCATTTATAGACAATCAATAAAAAAAAAAGATACCCATTGTGTTTGAGAGCAAAGGAGTTGGCTGGAGGCTGAGGAGCACTGCTGTGTAGGTTATCCTGATCCGTCTACCTGATGAAGTCAGCAATGACCACCACCTGCAAGCCAGCCTCCAGCCCATGTAGCACCAGGAGAATGGTGCTGAGGACCGAGTCCATCCACAGTACCAAGGTCTGCCAGAGCAGGAAGTAAACAGAAAGGAGGACACTGGCTGCTGTGAATGCCAGGCTGGCTGCCAGTGGCACTTCAGACTCCGTCAGGTTGCCTTTTGTGCCTGGAAAAGAGAGTAAACATGAGGTTAAGGCAGGGGCTTCAGGACACCCCACCATCTGCCGAGCTCTGGGTACTGTGGTTGCTAAGGGGCAATGAATTCATGGGATCTGGGAAAACTGTTCATCAGGGCCACGTCGTATCAGAAAGTACCAAATGGATAAATCTCAGATTCTGTACTCTTGAGACACAAACAGTGTGGATTTAAAACTGTGGGCATCTCCACCTTTTCTAAATCCAAGTGGAATCAAAAGGATTTTGTTTAAAATATCTAAAAATATTTTACTCTGGGCTAAGGCAGGCTGGTTCTGGAAAATTTCATGAGTTCTTATTAAAAACATTACAAACAACTGGGTCAGTCATGGAAAATGCCAACTTGGAGCTGCTAATAGCTGACCAGCTGCTAGAGCTGCTGGGGGTCTGCTGACCCCAGCAGCTGGGGAACTGAAGGCCCACTGGCCCCAGCCCTGGGCATCTGAGGGGCCTGCTGAGTGCCAAGTGCTTGGAGAAGTCCAATGATGACAGACCCCTAGAGAGGGCACTGCAGGGGTTGGCCTGACTCTTCATTGACGCAATGCCCGCCTCTGCAGCCCATGGGCAGCACCGCCTACTGAGAAAGAAGTGCAAGCTCCAGCACAGTCCACAGTAGTAGACACTGGGGCTCTGTCTAAGAGACACAGACAGGATACTTGCTACTCCCAGCAGACAGGGAGGGAAGGTAACAGATCCAATCAAAGGAAAGTGATCAGAGCCTCAAAGTGCAATGGACCTGGGTGATGAGCCTCATTTACATTGCCTGCCACTGAGTGCAGGGAAGAGCAGGAGCAGAGCTAGAGACCTAGACGCGTGCTCATCGCTGCAGTTAGCTCTGGGAGGAGGACTTCCAGGTTTTACTTCTGCACTCCTTGTCTATCAGAACCTACCTCTTCTGACCGTAACCCTGATCTAAGTGAATTGTGTGACTCAGAAAAACAGGAAGGGATGGGGATACAGTGCTTGCCTAGCATGTGTGAGCCCTGGGTTTGATCCTACCAATGCATAAAAACTGGACATGATGATGCATGCCTACAATCAACACTCAGGAGGAAGAGACAGAAGGATCAGGAGTTCAAGACCAGCCTTAGTTACGTAGGACTGTACAGATAGATGGACGGATAGATAGATAGATAGATAGATAGATAGATAGATAAATAGATAGATAGAGGCAACAGACTAAGACTGGACTCAAATTGGGAGCTGATGTGATACCGAGTGGGCTTGGGGAGGCAGACTCCCCCTCTACCAGATGTTCTCCCTGACTGCTGAGCCAATAGGAATGAGGGGAGCTCAGGGGAGCATTGTGGAGTTCTCGCTTTAGGCTGAGCTTCTGGTCCGAGCACAGCGTTAGTATACACATCCTTCCAGACAGGAGGACATCACCAGTGCAGTTATTCTTGGAGCCAAGAATCTGAACAAATGTTTAGTACTTCAATGACTCCAAAAGGTAACACTGCGAAGCACCTGGTAGAGCGGCCTGGATGGAAATGTCTCCAAGACTCACACTATAAAATGATCAATATTTAAAGGTTTAGAAAGTTTGAAAGAACACCTATGGGACCACAAGCATTTTATGGTTTCACAGTCAACTCACCTAGATATAGCCGAGCTACTTCGAGAATCCCCATCAGAAGCAAGAGAACCAGATCCAGGACCAGACAGTTAAAAGGATAACTGAAAACCTGACCTAGGAACACACACAGAGCCAGAACTCAGATAAGTGTATCAGGGGCACAATTCCTTTGAAGGGCCCAGCACTCATAACTTACTTTTATATGTAATCATCAGGAATGTAGCTAGGAAGTACAGGGCATAGTACAGCCCACTGAGGTGAAACAGCATCTGAAGAGGAACTGACGAGAGCTGGCGAGTAATCAAGGATCCTCAAGCTCACCAATGGGGTACAACTACTCAGGTGGCCAACAAAGGGGCCTATCCAGCCCCCCAGAGCTGCAGATCAGCAGGTTTGGGTAATTCCAACAGGGTGGACTCCAGCCACTGGCCCCTGCCTACCTGGAGCTTCTACTGCTACATGGGCTCCTGGAGTGCTCACCTGAGGGCACCTAGTGGTCACAAGAGTGATGCCGGATCCCTCCCAACCTGTTAGCACATGGCCTAAGTACCCCAGTCCTCAGCAGATGCAGGCAGGACAGGGGGATTTCTTCATCCTAATTCACATCGTGAGTTACAAAGAGGACCCATTTCATTTTCTTTAGAGAAAATGTATTACTTGGCCATTCAAAGTAAGGGGTTTTCGCCTCCTGCTATAGGTTTGGTTGGTGGCAAGCAAATGGGCATCCCCTAATGTACCAGGCCTATGAAGGGGAAGAGGGCTGAGCTGGTGGGTGACAGAGCCAGCACACCAGGGAACACCTTTCCTTCTTACAAGTTACTAGTCAGAATTTAACAAAAAAAGGGGGGGGGGACATGAAAGACACAAAAAGGCAGAGCGCTGAGGGTGCCAGGCCAGCTAATCAGTGTGGTGCTGCCCTAAAGGGGCTATGCTTGGTCAAGGTCTTGGGAAGCAGCAGCAGGATACCACCTTGAAGGAGCCTCTCCCTGGAAGACAAAGGATGGCCAGTAAGACATCGACAGCAACATGGCAGGCATTTAGTTCTCTGATTCCATGTTTATAGATGGACGTGAATGATGGCCGCAGCTAGGATCTACAATCACCTCTTCATCTCTCCCTCCTAGGGCACTGCTTTCTGATGGAATCTGATTCGCGTCCCCAAGCCAGCTGTCTAGAGGGGGTACTTTTTAAACCATCCATGTAACTCTGCAGCCTCTTAGAATGGCCCATGCTCTGTGCAGGTGTTAGCCTCCCTCGGCCTGTGAGGGTCAGCGCCAGGGTGTAATAGAGCCTCCCTTGCGACTCTGAGTCTGAAGTTTTGTACATGAAAATCTGCCTGGCCCATCCCTCGATGGAATGTGACCTGGGTCAGGCCGCCTGTCTGGAGGCTCACACAGCTGCACGCTCACGCCCTGCACGTCTCTACATGTGAATGCATACCATAAAATCTCCGAATTTGGCCAAAACCGCCTATAAAAGAGGCTGCCTTCTGAGCATTACAAAGCAGCACCTGAACCCAAGGTATGTTCATCTTCTGTGCTGTCCCCTGTCCTCCCTGGGTTTGCAACAGAAAAGGAAGTGGTGCCTCGGTGAGATTATGTGGGTCACTTGACTTCGAAGGCCAGCTTGAAGCTGTCTACTCTGGAGATGTGGACTCTTGCATGGGCGAGTCATAAACTGGTAAACACAGGACATTAGTAACAGCCTTTGGACAGCCTCCTAGCAGGCACACGTGTGGGAGCAGGAAGCCAAGTGTGACTGGAGTGGCATCAAGTTTCCACAGGGTGTGCTAGTAAACATGATCCGTTCTTTTCCAGGCCCAGCTAAACTAGGCTACCTAGATACCTGTCATCATTTGGGTTGGCTTTACATTAATTGGGGGTTTCTTTTCTTTGAATCCTTTTCCTCCCTTCTTTCTTTCTTTCTTTCTTTCTTTCTTTCTTTCTTTCTTTCTTTTTTGAGACAGAGTTTCTCTGTAGCTTTGGAGCCTGTCTTGGGACTTACTCTGTAGACCAGGCTGGCCTTGAACCCACAGAAATCCATCTGTCTCTGCCTCCCAAGGGCTACAATTCAAGTTGTGTGCCACAACCACCTAGTGAATCCTTTTTCAATTTTTTAAATTTCCTGCTTTCCTCTAGGTATGTCTGTGCACCTCCTGCATGAAGTGCCAGCAGAGGTGAGAAGAGTGTGTCAGATCCCCTGGGACTGAAGTTATAGATAGCTGTGACTTGCCATGTGGGTTCTGGGAATCAAACCTGAGTCCTCTGCAAGAGCAGCCAGAGCTCTTAACAACTGAGTCATCGCTCCAGCCTCCCTTTGGATCCTTTTATAACACCTAGGACCAGGACTAGGGTGCATGTCCTAGTACCAGGACTAGGGTGCATGTCCTAGTACCAGGACTAGGGTGCATGTCCTAGTACCAGGACTACGGTGCATGTCCTAGTACCAGGACTAGGGTGCATGTCCTAGTACCAGGACTAGGGTGCATGTCCTAGTACCAGGACTAGGGTGTATGTCCTAGTACCAGGACTAGGGTGTATGTCCTAGTACCAGGACTAGGGTGTATGTCCTAGTATCAGGACTTGTCTAGCATGTGAAAGTCCTGGGTCTCATTCCCAACATCCCCTAGAAAGTGGCAGGAACATTTAAATCATATCTGCTGGGTGTTTATTGCTAAAGATCGAAATTGTGAGACTTGGGGGAAAATACTGTATTTTCTACAGTATGGTTAGCTGGTAAAAGCACATATTGCTCTTGCTAAGACCCAAGTTTGGTTCCCAGCATCCACATCAGGCAGCCACAAATGTCTATAATTTCAGGTCCAGGAAATCTAATGCCTTCTTCTGGCGTCTGTGGGCACCTTGCACTCAAGTGCTTCCTTCCACATACAAATAATGAAACATTAAAAAATACTGTATAAAACCCTCAAATGGCACTGAGCGGTGGTGGCGCATGCCTTTAATCCCAGCACTCGGAGGCAGAGGCAGGCGGATCTCTGTGAGTTAGAGTAAGTTCCTAGACAGGCTCCAAAGCTGCAGGGAAACCCTGTCTCGAAAAACCAAAACCAAACCAAACCAAACAAAACAACAACAAAAACAAATGAACAAAAATCACCCCCTCAAATAGCATGTTTTTTATTTTCTGAGACAGGCTCTCACTACGTGGCCTGCCTTTCCCAGAACTCATTATGTAGACCAGGCTGGCCTTGAACTCACAGAGATCTGCTTGCCTCTGCCTCCTGAGTGGTTTAATTAAAGGCATGCTCCACTACACCAAGCTTAAATAGCATTTTAAAATAACTGATTTAATTAATTAAAATAATTCTAACACATTCAAACCTACAGGAGTTCATCTGTCTGGCTTTTGGGATTTAACACTTTTATCAATGATTTTTGATAATCGCTGTGCAGCTAGCTACCGACAGATACAAGGCAGAAACTCATGTTTTCTTGGTGTGACAAAGGCTACATATCCCTCTTCTGGTAGGATTTTTTTTCTTTTCTGGGAACAAGATCCCCTATGTAGCTCAGGCTGACCTAGAATTTATACTCCTGCCTCAGTCTCCCAAGTGCTAGGATTATACTTTTTATTTTTATTTGAGACAGGGCCTCACTCTGTGGCTCTGACCTGCCGGCCTGGAACTCACAGCCATCTTCCTGACTCAGTCTCTCACACCGCTGCATAAGTGGAGTGGGCCAACAGCCTAGCCTGGAAACTGGGCCTTTTATGTGACTTAATTCCAAGAAGGCTTTCTCACCCAGGAGTTACTTTTTCCCATAAACAAGTACACAAGAATAGCACTTCCAGGTCCGCGGCAGATATCACACAGAGCCGCACGGCAGTAAGTGCCAGGCACTCTAGGCTGCACGTGTAGTACAATCACATTTCCGAAATTTGTCCCCTTGAGGAACATTTGGGAGGATGGATGGATGGATGGACAGGCACAGGTCCGAGTTGGCTGAGACCAGCTTCTGACCCACACTGCTGACACCTGGCTCTGTCTGCCCATCCATCATCTGGGCTCAGCCCGAGGATCCTCATTGGGCCTGGGACTCTTGACAGGGTGAAATGTGAGCTACAGCAGCTCTGGTTGCCCAGAACTCAAGTAAGCCAGGGGGCATGAATGCGTGTGTATGTGTGTGTGTGTGCATTCATGCAGGGTAAGCTGACAGTATGCCATGGTGTGTCTGTTGTGTACCGGGTATGCTAGTGGTGTACCTCAGGTATGCCATGGATGGGCCGGGTGTTAAAAATATTCTTAAGACAAGCCTCCCTGGGGAGGGGTTGGCGCTTGGTGGGTTTTCTGGAGGTTGAGTCTGGACCAAGGAAACTCCCAGGGGAGGGGCCTTCCAAAGATGGATGTTGGGGCTTGGATGAGGCCACCAACCTAATATTACACCAGGGAGGACTAGAGATGTGCTTGGGGTGAGCTGAATGTAAGCTATGAATATCTTGAGTATGTTCCAGCACAAGAGGCATGCCATGAATAAATCTGCGGTGACTTGCCGTGTGCCACGGTGTATCCCAGGGCAAACAGCAGGTGTGTCATGGCTGCACCTGCTCAAAGAATCCTACCAAAAGCCAAGGCCCTGAGACTTAGCTCAGAGTTCCAGGAAGTCAGCTCTCTGAGCACGGCAGAGGAAGAGCAGCTGACTCTGATTCCAGACACCCGGAGTCCAGAAGAAAAGCAGTCGTGCCCTATCCGAGACACTCCATGGTTGCAAAAAGGGATAACAGACCCTGAAGTTCAAAACCGGTTTGTCTAGGGAAAACAGCTAACTTACCTATTATGCACTTGCCAAACGCCCCTTTCCCTACCTAACCTTAGCTACAAAAACCCAGCCGAAAGTATGTAATGTGTTGTCTTGAACTCTGGTCATTGAGTGATTGGATCCCGTGCCCTGACCACCACGTGGCCAGAACTTGAGAGCCGTGTCTCTGGCGCAAGCCTGCTCTAGTTGTTGGAGGTAGTCTAAATCATCACCTTTTACTTCTTCCCACACACTTGATTCCTACTTATCCTTATACCTGGGGTGAGTTGCAGCTATGCCGGGGGTGAGCTGAAAATGTGTTATGGTTTTGTCCCAGGGAACCTCAGTATCCTAGTCCGGCGTGCCAAAGGTGTAGCATCTGGTGAGAAACGGGGTGTATCAAGGGTGTACACGAGGTGAGCAGCGGGTGTGCTCAGGATGTCATGCATGTCAACTTTAGTGACCTATGGTTGTGTCGGTGTGCGACGGTAGTGTACCCTGGGTGAGTCTCCGGTGGGTGCACAGAAGGTGTTGTAGGTTGTATCTGGGGTCCCCCAGCGTGTACCTCAGGTATGTCACTGGTATGTCCGACGAGCTTCAGGGAAGCCGCTGGCTCCCCGAAGCCCCACGCCCACACCCAACCGGAAGACATGCCCCTCCCCCCATCTCCGCTGCAGAAATCTGGAGTAGTGGGCTTCTGTCATCAGGGCCCGGAATGGCGAGGTGACAATTAAGGGAGTTGCAGCGCCAGCCCAAATGGCCTCTCATCGCGACAGCACGATCACATTATCCCGGCGCCAGTATAGCCCCGCCCGCCTCACCTGGCCGCATGGCCGCCATTTTGCCGCTGGGTCCGCCACAATCCCAGCAGCCTCTTGGCCGCACCCTCCCGCCATCTTCGCTCCTCCCGCCCCGCGGTGCTGAGGGCGTCCGACCGCTGCCGAGGCCCGATTCTTCCGTCCGGCAACACTCGGAAGCTTTCGGACAGAAGGAGGCGGGCACTGAGGCTCCGAAGAACTCTGCTCGGAGACATTCGGCGGAGTTCGGCTAGACCTCGTGTGAGCTCGGCTTCCGCCGCCTCCAGAGGGGGTTGGAAAAATCGAGTGGCTCCAGGGTCGGTCGGCGAAGTCAGACTTCGTTAGAAGTCGGCGAGATACTACCCAGAGCCGACCAGCCCTATCGGCCGGTGACCACAATCAGACTAGCCTCCTAGGCAGCGAGGAAGAAACGCTCGTAAGCTTTCGTGAAGCTTCGGAATCATTCGTACTGACTCGACTCTTCACTTCGGGAAACTTCGGAGCTTCTCGGTACTACACTCGGGACGTCGTCCCTGCTCGGCGGGCGACTTCGGCTTGGTTCGGGGGACGTCAGACGTCCTCTTCGGTCGCTGCTCGGGCGGTGGCTTCGGGCGGCCTCGGCCCAACTCGGGCGGCCTCTTCGGGCCCCGCTTCGGGCTCGGCGCTTGGCGCTTCGGGCGGTCCCGGACGGCGCCTTCGGGCGGACTCGGCGGAGTCCGTATGGAGGACTCGGACTCGGCGGCAAAACAGCTGGGCCTGGCCGAGGCGGCAGCGGTGGCGGCCGCGGCCGCTGTAGCGGCGGCGGCCGCGGCCGCAGCGGAAAGCGAGGCGGAGGAGCCGGTGTTAAGCAGAGACGAGGACTCGGAGGAGGACGCGGACTCCGAGGCGGAGCGCGAGACGCGGCGGGTCACGGCTGTGGCGGTGATGGCGGCCGAATCTGGGCACATGGATATGGGTACCGAGGCTCTACCCAGCCCCGATGAGGCCGCCGCCGCCGCCGCCTTCGCAGGCAAGTGCGCCCGCCGGCCTCGCGCCTCACAGGGTTCCCGCGTACAAGCCCTGAACACATGCACCACGTACAGGCCGCTTCCCATATGCTTTATGCATCTGTCATGCACATCTGTCTCACAGGAAAGCTCTCTTCCACCTGTCTTGCACATCTGCCCAGCACCTGTGCTTGCAGTGCACCTCACAATGCCCTGCACACCTTCCCTACTCCTGTCTGTGTACCTCCCACCTGCCCTGTGCACATGCTCTGCACCTACTTACGCACTTCACACCTGCCAACGCACCTCGCAGTGCCCTGCACACCTACTCTGAGCTTGCCCATACACTTCATCATGTCTTGCACACTTGCTCTGTCCCTGCCCTGCACCTCACAATGCTCTGCTGCATACCCATCTTGCACACACACACACACACACCTCCCAATGCCCTGCATACCCATCTTGCACACTCCACTAGCCTGGCACAGCACTGTATACAATTTTTTTTCCCTTGTGTGAATGTACCTCTCTGCAATATTTTTTTTTTTAACCCTTTTGGAACTTTCTCAATACCTACTACTTGCGGTGTCCTCTCTTGCTGCTTCCTGGATATGTGAATTTTGTTCTGAAGGTGCTCCAGGTTTGATCAGCGGCATTACTGCTGGTAATGCCCCAAAGGCCAGTTCAAGTGTGACCTGAGCACAGAGGGCCAGGAAAGTCCTCCAAGGCAGGCAGCTTGTCAAAGGTAATATGCAGATCAGCCTTGCCTTATAGTGACATGAGTGTCCTTGTGCTGGGTCTTCTAGGTCTGCCTTTTCCCTCCTTCTCCATTACATAGTTTTCTGGTTTGCTCCTTCTGGTTTCTTGACACATAGAGTACCCTAATTTTCATGTTTTGTGACAAATGGAGCCTCAGGCTGAGCTGCATTACCTTGTACAGGTGATGCCACACCACACTACCTCCTACAGTCCCACCATAACCCCCAACCTTTGACCTTCCTGAATGCTGAACTCCCTACCAATTGGAGCTCCTGAATGTCTTATACTTGTACATTGATCCTTGGAATACCATCATTTTGCTATGCTTTTTGTATGGTTAGATGTTTTCTAATATGAAGCTCTGCAAATTTGGCATTGGGATTCTTTTTGGGGTACATCAGAGTTGAGATGCATCAACTCTGGGTGTTTGTTCAGAGCATGAGGTCTGGAGCACAGTTGTGGAGAAGTCTTGGTTCTGCTTGTCTACCTGAAATCTAGATTGAGTCACGGAAGTGAAGGAGGCTTCCTGGAGCTTTTCTTTTTCTAAGATAATATTTTTCCTGTTAGGTGTGTATGTGGATATGGGTATGTGATTGCAGGTTCCTGTGGAAGTTAGAGGTACCAGATTCCTCCAGGAGCTGGAGTTATACATTGTTATGAGCACCCAACATGGGTGATGGGAATTCAACTTGGGTTCTCTGCAAGTACTGTATGCATCTAGTAGAGTACTGTATGCATCTAAGCTATCTCTCTGGTCCCTTCCTGGAGGTTTTTGTTTGTTTGTTTGTTTTTTAAAGTTAATTTTGGCTGGGCTGTATGCTTTTAATTCCATCATTCAGGAGGCAGAGGCAGACATATGTCAGCAAGTTCGAGGCCAGCCTGGCTTACAGAGCTACTTCCAGGACATCCTGGACTACACAAAGAAACTCTGTCTCAAAAAACAAACAAATTAAGTTAATTCATTTAGTGTGTGTGACTACATGTATTATCTCTGTACTTGTGCCTGGAGTGACAGACCTTGTAAGCCACTGTGTGGGTTCTGGGAATAGAACCCAGGTCCTTTGGAAGTGCAGCCAGTACTCTTTAACTGCTGAGCCATCTCTCTGGTCTCTTCTGTAGAGCTTTTTTGTTTGTTTGTTTGTTTGTTTCAAGACAGGGTTTCTCTGTGTCCTGAAACTCTGTAGACCAGGGTGTGCTTGAATTCAGAGATCCACCTGTCTATGTGTCCCAAGTGTTGGGATTAAAGGTATGCACTGCCACTGCCTGGCTTTTCTTAGACTTTTGTTTTGTTTTTCTAGACAGGGTTTCTCTGTAGCTTTGGAGCCTGTCCTGGAACTAGCTCTTGTAGACCAGGCTGGCCATGAACTCACAGAGATTCGCCTGCCTCTACCTCCCCAGGGCTGGGATTAACGGCGTGCGCCACCACCACCCAGCTTCTTAGAGCTTTTAATACTTCTTTTTCACCCATGAATTCTGGGCTGATAGTGGGATCTGGAGTCATGAAGTTTTTATCCTTTTTGCACATATTTTTAGAGTTCAGGAAAGAAATATGATGTTGTCTGTGGTAGCATGAGAAGACTGCATCTCTGGTGTATCAGAATTTTAGTTGTATATTTATGTATCAGAGCGTTTCTACTTTTTTGTTCTAAGTTTCTGAAGTCAGAGACTGTCCAGGTGGCTTAGTGCTAGCTAAGCTGATGAATTAGGTATGCCCATGTATGGACTGGTATATGGATATGAACTAGACAGGTACAGGGTGCAAATTGATCAGGGCTGGGTTAATGGGGCTGGCAGGACTCCAGTTGGCATCTTCCAGTACTTCTCCTATGCCAGAAGTTTCCCTGGATGTTGAGCATTTTAGAATGCTTGGTGCCAGACAGAACCTGTGGTAGAGGTTGGGAAGGCCAGTTGCAAAGGATACATAGTAGCAGGCAGCAGGATACAGAAGAACCTAGAGGCATGTGTGGAAGCATCAGGGACATGGCACACCTTTGTGGAGCTGCTCTGTGACATCAGGGACATGGCACACCTTTGTGGAGCTGCTCTGTGACATCAGGGACATGGCACACCTTTGTGGAGCTGCTCTGTGAAGTTACTGCTGATAGACCTGTCTGCCCCAAGGAGTCAAGTTCATATTACAGGAGTGGCATGGCAGGTTGACGTGTTTTTCAGGAGGAAGAGTTTCTGGGGACGGATGACATGGAGATCTCAGACAATGGACACAAGGCTATAGGGTGGCCTGAGCTATGACAGTGGAGAGGGGTGAGGCAGAACTGGAGTTTGCCATGTCTTGATCGTCAAGGAGGTGTCCCAGGCCTATGAGACTTGCAGCTTCTTTGCAAAGGGAGAAAGGCCAGTGGCGAAGGAGGAAAGGGAGGGTATGGTGAGTCTTTTGCCGCATGTGAAAAGCTTTGGTGGGGAAGGGTAGATGCCCCATTTTCTGGGAGAAGCAAGTCCTTTAGACTGGATGAGAGATGTCAGCTAAACATCAACACTAGTGTTAACATGTCTGGGAGGAGTGCGTATACCCATGTGGGGCACTGTAAAGATCTTTGCCTTCTGTGCTCTTCCTTTCCCATGAGTGAAGCTCTGTTCTGTTCCATTCTGTTGCAGAAGTGACTACAGTGACTGTGGCAAATGTGGGGTCCTCTGCAGATAACGTCTTCACAACATCAGTGGCAAACGCTGCATCCATATCAGGACATGTCCTGGTAAGCTGTTCTTGGGTGTAATTCAGGGTGCCTGGAACTGTCCTTAGAGCCTTTGACTCATTCTCAAGACCCTCTCAGGGTTTAGGTGTGGGTGAGCACTTGCTGTTCTGGGAGCCAGGGGGGTCTGCGTGCCTCCCTGTGCTCTCAGGAGCCTCAGGGACGGGCTAGGCAAGGCACGTGACCCATTTTTTTTTTTTTTTTTTGGTTTTTCGAGACAGGGTTTCTCTGTGGCACGTGACTCATTTTGAGTTAGGGCTTTATCCTCACTTTGGGTCCCCTACATGAAAGGTGCTGTATAAACCCAGAAAGGCAGAGAGAGAGCTGTGAGGAAGCCTTAGGCTCGGATCAGGCCATCCTCCATGCCTGCTGGCTTTGCAGCTTGTGTTCTACCAGGCTCAGGCTGCTCTCAGCCCCTCTCAGTGCCTGGCTTTGTGTGCATTCCTGAGATCTATGGACACACGAGGAGTCCCTGTATCCGACCTCTCTGCCCTGTCTCCGAGGCTTACAGTCCATTAGTTCTTTCCTCGCGTTCACTCATGAAGGCATTAGCCTCCAGGATGCTTTCAGTAGCACTGTCCATAAGCAGACTTCCTGTGGTCGGTCACACCATCCTGCTTTCTATGAAGCCTTCAGAAACTGGGCACAGTCTTCTTAGACAAGGCAGATGTGCTCAGTGTCCAGAAAGAAACTGTGTATATGATCACTTCAGCTTTGACAGGTATGTGGACACTCAGTAGCCTTTGTGCTTTTCTTGGTTCTTTCCTGTGCGCCTTGGGGATGTCTGTGGAGAGGATGTGTGGGCTGAGGTAAACATCCTATCTTGCTGATTAGTAGTGAGAGTCTTGCAGTAGGGCCACATTCCACTGCGTCAAGTCATGTGCCTCTGGCTATCCTAGAACTGACAAGAGTGTCTTTCCTTCTAGTCTGGTAGGACAGCCCTGCAGATCGGGGACAGCCTGAACACTGAGAAAGCCACACTCATAGTTGTACACACAGATG